TAATTTTATTTGAATTATAAAATAGTGATTGATTTAATAATTAGGGCTTTGGATAAGTTAAATAATGTTACAAACTAATCAAATTAATTAATCAACTACATAAAAAAATTTTGATTACAACACAAAATAAAATATATACTAAAGAAATCAAAAGTATTAAGTCTAGGATGAAAATTTAAAAGAAATAAAGTTTTATATAGTACATCTATAAAGTTTCAAAGCGATGAACTAGTTTTTTAATAGGTATTATATGTTAAATAATTCTAAAAATAGAAATTATATTTTTTTTAACCTTTAATGATATTGCTTGAGACATATTTAGCAGATCATATCTTATAAATTTTAAACTCTGATATTGAAGTTTTATTATTATTATTTTAACAAGAAAAATAATATGAACTTGAAAACTTATTCTTTATTACTTAAATTATATATTTATAATACATTATAAATATAATAGCCAAAGATAAATCAATCGCTCTGTATATATATATTTGATAAGTACTTACAAACATTTTTAAATTTTTAATTTAAAATAACTTGGTGTTGTTTGAAAAATATGATAATAATTAAAAACATGTTAATGATTGATTATTTTATTTTACAACAAATATATAAATATCAAATAAAAGCTGAGTGTATTTAAATAAGTATAATAAAAATATTATATGAAATTATTAATTAACGTCAGTACATTTTTTTAATATAACATTTTTAAGATGATAGTATGTATTCTTTAAATTAAAATTTTAAACATTTGATTAACTTTTTAAATATTTTCCAAACAATTAATTTTTATGTTTCACTTTTTTCAGAATTTACGTTTGTCAGTTACATGTTTCATTATTTTAATAGTCTGTATTTCACTTTCTGAAGGTACATAATAAGATTATATCTTTGATACGTCTGAAAAACACATTTTATTATTTTAAACCCCTTATTATTAATTTTAATTTTTAAATCGAGAACTGGTACAATTATAAATAATTATACTATCAAGTGTTGACTTGCTTTAAGTTCAAAAAGAGACTGAACCTTAGAACTAATACCTAAGACGAAATTCGTCTATGGACTGACGACTTGCCATCACACGTATGTATTCTATCAAAGCTTTACATAATCGTGTGACCGCCTGTTTGATGTTCAACAAGAGACTGAACCTTAGGTATCTAAGATGAAATTCGTCTATGGACTAAAGCTCACCAATACGGAAATTTTTTTTATTCACATATTATAAAATTTTACATGATAATAATTTTACAACCAGTTGGGAAAATAAATAAAAAATTCTATATACTTTTTTAATAATTTTTAAACAATCTCGAGAGAAAATTGCTCACCGATTAATAAAACTCTAATTTTATATTCGGTAAAAACATAGAATTTGACTTAATAGAGCCATTTTCGGCCATTTTTTGTAAACATATTTAGATGTGAAATAATTAAAATACAAGTAAATAATTTTTAATAAAAATTAATTAAATTATTAATTTATATTTATTTCAGCATGGGAATTAAAAAGTAGTAAGTAAACTAAGTCGCAAATAATTCAGTATAAAATGTTAATATCTAATGTCACAAATCATTCTAATAAAAATTAGGAACCTATTATAATAATTTATTAAGGAACCCGTACCAATTTGGACTGCCTTAGTACCTGGTATTAGCTACATAATTTATTCTGAAAGAAAAAAAAAATTCAAGGCAATTCATAATTTTTTCAACAGAATAAAATAAAAATTTATTTGAGACCAAAAACGGTGCTATATAAACCATTAATATTGATATGCATTATAGTTAATTTACATACATATATGTTTATTTTGTGTTTTTTTTTTTTATTTATTAAATATTATTTGACAGGATCAAATTCTAGTAACGAATGTAAGTATAAAATTACTTTAAAAATGTTTGAAAGTTTAACAAAATTAATGGTTTTTATAGATTATTTACAAAAATATTAATAGTAAAATTATAATCAATTTTATTTTTTTTAACATAAAAATAATTTAAAAAATATTTTACTATCATGATTTCAATTAAAAAAATTATTTTACAAATATTAAAGTAAGATATATAAGTGCTATACTGATGTGTAAAATTTGAAAGCTATTTTTATACTTTTCTACTTTTTTAATTTAATTTGAAAAGTATAAAAATAAATTATTTCTATTCTGAATATCACTTTTATTTTTAAATTTTCTTTAGATAAAAGTAGAATGAAACTTCAAGGAAAATCTTGTCCAATGTGTGACAATTGTGAAGCGACAAAGTTGCTTGAATGTAAAAACAAAGAACACGAGATATGCATTTTTTGCTACACTACTTGGCAGAAATATGATGAATGTCCATTGTGCAAAAAAATAATATTAAAAAATCAAAGTACTAAAAATTGATCATAATTGTAATTTTAATATTTCTACACTGATAACATTAATAATTTATAAACTGGTAACATGTTTTCTAAAATAAATACTATGTTTCAAGTACATATTATTTTTCTTGTTAACATCCGTTAAATATATCTTAAACAATATCAATAAAGGTTAAAATAAAATATATATATTTTCTTAGAAGTTCTTAATATATAACATCTATTAAAAAACTAGTTTCTCACTCTAACGCTTAATAAAAATCTTTGATAACACAGTAATTCTTCTTCTTTTCAGTACAAAATTTTACTTAAAAACGGTAGCAGAGTGTGGTCGCTGCATAGTTGGGACAAGTATAGATGATATCTAACTAATCTAAATAAAATCATTATCGTTAGAAACGATTTCATGTAAATCTGTAGAGAGTGTTAAATTTTAAGAAATTTGTGAATTATTCCAAATGTAAAATGAACTCCTATTTCTATCATATTCTATCAATAGTAGTTGATTTTTAAGTATAATTTATGAATAAATATCTATTAAAGAAATTCAACGTAGTATGAAATTGATATTTAATAATTAAGTATTGTAATTTTTACAGAGAAATTATAAAAAATTATAAAGTAGTTGTTACTTTTATGACCAACAAGTATAAAAATTGAAGGGCTCCATATAAATATTTGCATTTGTAGTTAATTATGAATAAATGGTCGAGAAGGAATTTTCATTAGAGTCAAAAATATACTTTTCTAAACCCATTTTCCGTGCTGAATTCAAATCTGCAATTTGATTTTTACCATCACCACTAATTTTTTATATTATTAGTAATTAGTTAAAAATGAGTATTAACATATAATAAAAGCTAAAAGTTATTACCGTGACTTTTTTAGCTCAACTTACAAATCTGAAATTGACATCATTAAATAAAACATTTTATGAGAATTTAAAAAATGGTATTGTTAATATTAATATGCAGTCAGAAAATTTTATAATTAATATTTATAGTAAATTTATCAGTAATTTAAATATTTTATTGCATTTTTATTGTAATAGATAACTTAAATAGAAGTAATAGTAATCATTTCCTAGTAACTTTTGGTGTTTAATAAGATTCTACAATTGAAATATTCAAAACTTAATTAATTTAAATGATTTATTTTAACTAAAATAACAATCAATAAGTTTTTAAAGAGATCTACTCAATTGAGCGTACTATTAAATTTAATTATAATTGTAAAAATACATTGTAAATTCAGGTGAAACTAAATATTATTTTTTTAGAAATATTTTTATAGCAACATGTTACCAAAAAATTTCAATTATTAATGACACACAAATAGAGTTAAAAAATTAATAAACTATAAATTAAAATAATTTTAATTATTATTTAATTTTGTAGTTTATTTCAGTAAATACTTTTAAAATATTAGAAATGAATGATTTTAATTTTCTGTATAGGGAACATGGGCTAAGTTACTAAGTAATTGATAAATTAGAATTTTTTTTTCAATTTTTGAGGGTAATATCTTCAACTAGATAGGAATTGTAATAATTTGACGTATCGTTAAAAAAAGTTGGTCAAATGAGAGCTGAGAAAATAAATGACAGCCCAAAAAAAAAACCATGTGGTAAAATAATTTTAATTTGAATAAGAAATTTCTTCTAATTAGGATAGACTACAATGATCGGGTCCTTAATATTTATTGAAGTTATTGAAGTTGAAAATATTTTCTAAATCAAGAATTATTAAGAAAAAAATGCAAAAATATTCACTTTCCAGTTGGGTTCGAATCTCGTACCTCAATCGTTAAAGATATAAATTTTACCGTCACAGCAACTGTACATCATCACATTTGTTTGAGAATAAAAATGGCAATATAAGCTAATTATAAATTTCAAAGTTATACTTCTTGACTTAAATGAAGCAAAAATATTTAAATAAGTTTATCTTTATATTCTATGTCAACTAAATTTATATAATATTCATTTAAATCAGTGTACTTTGGCCAGATTAAGGGTCAGATTTTCAAATAATTTACATAAAATGAAAGGAAAATATCTAAGGTTGTTATATAAAAAAAAATATTTTGATTTGTTTATTTTTCAAAAAGTTATGGCAGTTTTAAGCAAAAAAAAAATTAAATTTACCGAAACAAAAACAATCATAGGGGTAAGTTTTAAAGAACACTTATGAAACATTAAAAATCAAGAAATTAATAATTCTCCTGTGGTTAATTATTTATTGACATATAATCACTTCATTAAAACTGTTGCGTATTGATAAATATTATATAAATTAGTAGTGGGGGTTGTCAACTATTTGCCAGTGCAATCACCGGCACACACATCATTAACAATTATATTGTTTCTCAATAAATACTTATTTTCTGTTTAACTATTTGATGTTGTCTTTCATATTAAAACACAACAAAAACCATAAAACTAATTAATATCGTATATACAGTCAACTCGCGATATAACAAATAAAACTGTCGGTCCCTTGAAAATCTCGTGATATAACGAAAAATTACATGTATTTTAGTCCCCTCGATATAACGAAGTTTTTTTGACCAACGCTCTCTCTATGTAACGAATTATCATATAATAATGTCGTCGTAATTTATCAGCATGAGTTTAAAACGTAAGTGTTTGTCAATTTCTGACAAGAAAAGAATAATTGAAGCAGTCGAAAGTAGCAAAAAGAAAAAAGATGTAGCGGATAGTTTTCAAATCCCTTCTTCATCACTTTCTACAATTTTGAAACAGAAAGAAGCGATTTTTAATAAAACTGACGCAGAAGGTAGCCGAAAAAAGAACCGACCAAGTGAGTTTTCCCGTTTAGAACAGTGTTTGTTCACTTGGTTCAATCAAGTTAGGCAGCAAAACATTCCAGTGAGTGGTATATTAATCAAGGAAAAAGCCAAAAGTTTTGCTGAAATATTAGATATCTCAGATTTTACTGCTAGTGATGGCTGGTTATCTAATTTTAAAAAGCGTCATAACTTGGTGTTCAGAAAAATTTGTGGAGAAAGTGCAAGCGTCGATAATGGTATCTGTGAGAATTGGAAGGTGAAACTTCAATACTTGTTATGTGAATACGATCCGAAAAATGTGTTCAATGCTGACGAGACAGGACTATTTTTTAAATGTTTACCAGACCGAACACTAACGTATAAAAATGAAAAGTGCCATGGAGGAAAACTGAGTAAGGAGCGAGTTACATTACTTTTTGCGGTAAATATGGATGGTTCGGAGAAATTGAAGCCCTTATTTATAGGTAAATCCGCTAAACCTAGGTGCTATAAAAACGTCAAATCTTTGCCGGTGATGTATAGAAACAACAGAAAATCGTGGATGACTACCGAACTTTGGAACGAATGGCTTGAAACCCTCAACAATGACATGCAAAAACAACGCAGAAAAATTATCATATTCGTTGATAATTGCACTGCCCATAACAATCTCTCTACTCTCTCTAACGTGCGAATTGAATTCTTTCAGGCAAACACAACTTCAAAACTCCAACCTCTTGATCAAGGGATAATTAAAAACTTTAAAGTTTTATATAGAAAAGAAATTGTTTCTAAATTTTTGGACTGCTTGGAAAATAACGATTTTCCGAAAGTAACTATTTTGACTGCTATAATGATTAGCTAGAAAGCTTGGAACAATGTGACTGTACAAACGATTCGTAACTGCTTTAGAACGTGTGGATTTGGCAAAACAGAAGACGAAATCGCTGCCACTTTAGCAGTTGACAATCAATGGTATAGATTATCTACTGTTCTAGTCGAGCAGTTATCAACGTTTGAGGAATTTGTTGCTATCGACGATGATTCGGCTGTGTGTTTCTCTCAATGACGATGAGATTTAAAAAAAAACTGATGACGAGGAAGTCAATGATGAAGAAGAATTGTCCGAAGAGCCCCCAGTCACCTCAAAGGAAGCCAAAGCAGGTCTCCGTGCCGTTTTAAAATATTTACAAAATCACAACATAGACGATAGTATATTTATTCACATTTTAAAATTAGATAATACAATTGACCAAGTAAGCTCAATTGGCTATACACAAAAAAAATAACCGATTTTTAAAAAAAATAAATATGTATGTATATATGTATCATAATTTATTTAAAATAAATTTTTTAAAATCTTGTTATTACGAACTTTTGATATACCGAACTTTGTCCTCGGTCCCTTGAAATTCGTTATATCGTTAGTTGACTGTAGTTACAAAGAACTTAATATTAGAGAAACAGAAGAAATGTTTAAAAATAAAAATAATTAAATTAATTGGTACCTTGGCCCACTGAAAAATTATTAAACTTGTGTAAACTGGCCAAATGTGTCAATCGACTAGGTGATGCCATTATCTAATAATTAACCTCACTAGGTGATAAGGTTACTTGGGTTATATAAAGGTTTTTATCCGGTTGGGGTGCCAATATGTGTTTAGCGTTGATAATGGTAACATTATTTTTAGAATACACGTACTACTATAATCGATTTTTTTAGTAATTTTATGCTTTTTGAGTTAAATATTTTTTATATTTTTATTTTTAATGAATTATTGAAGATTAGACTCTCATTATTTTGAAAACTGTTAAAAATTTAAAAGTATCATAAAGGAAACTATTGTTTGATTCAAATAACTCTGCAATCATGTAATTGTCCAAGAAATACGTATTCGCGATTTGTTAGTAATTTCTGTTTTAAATATTTTCTAGAATTATTAGTTTTCAATAATATTAGCCATAAGTGATGAAGTCTTAGTATATATTGGTGGTGTTAGGGAGGAAAACTATCCTTGTCAAGTGTTTATGTACTTAAACGGTTTTCTCAATTACCATCAATATAATTAAGCTAAAATTTAACCAAAGTTTTATATTTAAAAACTCGGTAACAGCGTAGAAAGAATCTTTTGGTTAGGTTACATAGGCAAAGAAGGACTGACCACTAGGGTGGTCCTTAATCATATAAGAAGAAATTTTTTATTAATATTTTTTACACAGTATCCTCTAGATTGGTTAAATACTATTAAAATGTAATGTAGGTAAAATTTGGAAGTTTTTATTCAACCCCTTCTGGTGCCGCATTAGGGTTGAAATATGGCACTTGATGGGTGTTTTTGCTTTTTTTGTGTTTAACTCGACAACTATTACACTTAGCGCTAAAATGAATAGAATATTAATTATAGAACTTATTATTGCCTACAAAAAAGAAAATAACAATATTTTTCATAAATTCATTATATTTTGAGAAAAATAACTTAACATAAAAATTTTTCAAAATTTATCATAAATATATTTTTTTAAATATTTTAATATTTTTACTGAGTGGTTGAAGTTTCATCGAATTTTTCCTTTAAAATTGGATTTAGTCATATTTCCTAAAAAAACTCATATTATATTTCACGTTAGTGCAATTATATATTGATGTATTAGCATTTATGGCGCAAAAATCAAATATCAGTTTACCTGTACTGTTCTAAATACTATACTTATTATTTTGAACGTGTGGAATTTACTGTGATTATCCATAGAAGATAAGAATTGTGGCATTATTGTTGTTTGTGTAATAATAGGTAACGATAAAAGTTCTTACCAATAATCATTTTTCATGGACTAATATCAGATATTTTCTTGTAATTTAGTTTTTTGCTTATTATTGTGTCAAGTTTTAAGATTTGTTAAAATATTAGTTTAGTGATACAGTTTTTTTGAAATTTTATTTTATTTAAATATGTCACGTAACCAAGTGTATTTAGTAGGAGCAATGAATTATCAAATTACTGGAAGTAAATTACCTTCAGTTAAAAATGTTTTGAGTGTATTGTATTATAATTTAAGATTTGTAAAATTGAATTTGCATGAAAGTGCGGCGCTTGCTGTTGACGAGTGTCTAATTTACTGGAAAAAAGCTCGAATACCTACGCAAGATCCAGCTAATATTATAAGAAAATTAAAAAAGTTTTACGATGAACTGAGAAATTTAGAGAAAAATAAAACCAGGACCAGCGACTTATACAAGAAAAGAGAACAAAATTTTGTAGACCAAATCGAAGAATTGTTTGATATAGCTCATGCTAATGCAATCAGTCTAATGAAGATCCAGGAAGATATTGATTTTTTGCGACTTCAACGAACTAAGGGACGTCCCGGATGTATGATGGGAGTAGATATGAATTTAACCCAAGCAGAAAAAAAAAATGCAAATAAGACAAGAACAGAAAAATAAAATACTTATACCTCACTCAGATACAGAAACTTTATTAGAAGGTAATTTTTAAAAATAATGAATGTTTAATAAACATTGTTTATTATATTTTTAATAATTATATATGATTTAATTTAGAAAAATATTCATGTACTTCATCGGATTCATGTGATATGGAAATCGTAAGTGAAGAAGAGAGACAATTTTCACCAGTAGCAGGTCCGTCAAAAAATAAAAGAGGTAGAAAAGAACTTTTAACTTCTAGATTATCTGCCACTCTTGATAGGTGTAAAATAAGTGATAGGGATGCTGTTCATTTGTTAACTGCATGTTTGGATGCCTTATCATTAGATCCCAGCATATATGTTTTAAACCGATCGTCAATTAAAAGGTCCCGTGAACATTATAGACAAAAAATTGCAGAAAATATTAGTTCTAAATTTCATGAACAAAATTTGAATTTTGTTGTGATCCATTGGGATTCAAAAATGCTTCCAGACCTTACAGGGAAAAAAAAAGTCGATCGCCTCCCTATTATTGCAACCGCCTTAAATTTTGAACAGCTTCTTGGAGTCCCTTATATACCCTCTGGGAAAGGTTTAGAAGTATCATCAGCTGTCTATGACGCTTTAGTCAAATGGTCACTATTGGAAAAAGTACAGGCTTTCACATTTGATACTACGGCCTCTAATACGGGAAGGTTGAATGGGGCGTGTTTTTTGTTAGAGCAACGTCTTGGAAGAGAAATTTTATTCTTAGCATGCCGACACCATATTTATGAACTTGTTTTACAAGGCGTATTTTCAGATACCAAATTATGTCCTTCAACCGGACCAGAAATATTATTATTCAAGAGGTTTCAACAAGAATGGGAAACAATTGATAAAACAAAATTCTCTACATCAATTTCTGATACTTATGTTCATAATATTTTAAAAGATGAAGCCGATGAAATTATTTTATATGCAAAAAGTAAAATTACTGAATATCTCCCCCGAGATGATTATCAAGAGTTTTTAGAACTTGTTATTATATTTTTGGGCGGTGTTCCTCAAAGGGGAAATGCTTTTCGAAAACCGGGTCCTTATCATTTAGCCAGATGGATGGCTAAAGCAATATATTGTTTAAAAATATTTTTGTTTAAAAATCAATTTAAACTAGACAGCAGAGAAGAAACATCATTAAAGGATATTTGTTGTTTTATTGTAAAATGTTACGTTCAAGCTTGGTTTTCATCTCCAAAAGCTATAGAAGCTCCTTTTAATGACATATTATTTCTTAGAAAATTAGAATCTTATAAATTACAAAATAAAAAAATCGCAGACGTGGCATTAAAAAAAATAACTAATCATTTGTGGTATTTAAATCCAGAATGTATTACTTTTTCCTTATTTGACAATCGTATAGACTATAATACAAAACGCAAAATGGCTGAAAAAATTCTAAGTTATAATGATGATGATGATGAAGAAACTAATCTGAATAAAAAGTTAACTCTTACACCAGACGATGTCCCCAATTTTCTTCAAAAAGACCTACCAACTGATTTAATAACTTCCAAATCAATTGAAATGTTTAAGCGGTTTAAAATTCAAACAAATTTTTTAAGCATTGATCCAGCTTATTGGAATTATCAGGAAGACTTCAAAACAGGTAGAGAAATAATCAAATCATTGAAAATAGTTAACGACACAGCTGAGAGAGGAGTCAAGCTAATGGAAGAATATAATGATAAATTTACTAAAGACGAAGAACAAAAACAATTTTTATTGCAGGTAAATTTAACAATTTTTATTTTTAACTTAACTTAATTATATCGTTTAAATTTTTAGACCGTCCAAGACTATCAAAAAAAATATCCAAAATGTGATAGAGAAACATTAAAAAAAATATATTAAAAGACAAATACTAGTTCCATGTAGATAAATGTGCTATGAATTTTGTAATAATTATGTGTTGATAGAATGGATTATACATTTTTTTTTTTTTAATCTTAGTTAATATTCATGAAATTATTATATAGTTATTTTATACAATTTTTTACTTAGCTTTTTTTTTTTAATATTAATTTTATAAAAAAAGATTACATGAAAATTTAATGAAATTTCAACCACTCAGTAAAAATATTAAAATATTTAAAAAAATATATTTATGATAAATTTTGAAAAATTTTTATGTTAAGTTATTTTTCTCAAAATATAATGAATTTATGAAAAATATTGTTATTTTCTTTTTTGTAGGCAATAATAAATTCTATAATTAATATTCTATTCATTTTAGCGCTAAGTGTAATAGTTGTCGAGTTAAACACAAAAAAAGCAAAAACACCCATCAAGTGCCATATTTCAACCCTAATGCGGCACCAGAAGGGGTTGAATAAAAACTTCCAAATTTTACCTACATTACATTTTAATAGTATTTAACCAATCTAGAGGGTACTGTCTTAAAAAAATTGAGTTTGAAAAATAAGGACCACCCTACTGACCACGGGAGTTGTCCTGTAGGCCGCTATCTACAGTATGATAAACGTATTGCTCTTGTAAAATTGATTTGACCTTTTTTGGGAACGATGTAAATTTTTTTGGTGTGAACAGCGTCAACAAAGTTTTTGTTACTCCGTAGCCTGTGACCTTCCAGTACAGCTCTCTACGTAGCAATTGGATATTGACAAACCGACTGCTTACGGTATAATTGGCGTATGCGACATTTTTATCAACAATTTTTTCCCCCTAAAAACATGAAAGTAACTTATGGATATTTCAAATCAAATGAGTCTGAACATTTTTGGTAAAATGTCGTTACGCCAATTAGCCTGTAAACAGTAGTAAAATAGAACTCATTGTCTTTGCACTAAAGGATAATTCTCTATTTTTCTATTAAAATATTTTTTACAAACAAAGTCCTATCCTAACAGAGATCGTGTTCTAGATCTACTAACTTTATTACATTCTTGAAACACAATGAATAATTGTTCTAAAATTGTTATGAAATAGTTTTTTTGTTAGAAAATGGCTATTTAAACGTATTCTAAGAAGCCAATAATTATCAGAAAAAAAGTTTACAAAATGATGATTCTATCATAAGTATGTTGTCATTTATGTTTGAGATCTATATTAAAAAATAATTACAATCAAGTAAAATTATTTTTATATTAATCAACATTAGTTATATAAATTTAGTACAAACTTGAATTATAAATTACAAAAGTAAAACTATTAAATAAAATTATTACTGTCTTTTCAATCAATATTATATATCGCGTTGACACTGTCTCCGTCACATTGTCATTGGCGGTGTCCCGCGACCAGCGTCACCTTCATTAGCCGTCGTCTTATTATTTGGTAGTTGGACTGGCCAACATCGCGTACCATACGCTACGGTGCAAAGTCCAGCAAGCGTCGCACGGCCAACGACGACCCGCTGAAAACGGTACGCTCAGTCTTCTTCCCGTCGTCCAAGTGACGAGGATATACGCCACCGGCTCCGAACGTGTCGCACGACCGGACTCAACGAACCGATTCGCACCGTCGCCATTATTGATGCTAACTTTTTGACGTCCGAGGACCAAGTCGCCGACGCTAGCAAAAGTGCCATGATATCGCGCGAAGATTGTTATTGTGTTTGTCTTTACGCATCTTTTTAAAATAATCTGTTGTTGTTCATGAATAATAAACGGAGTCTCTACAATAAAAACAAGTGTCGATTACATCACTGAGACGTAAGTCGTGTCATTGGCGGGGAATCGAACTGCCGTGTCGCGCGTGACAGCCAGGGACACTTACCACTATACTACCGAGGACGTAAATGTTATCTAAAGCTGCTTTTGTTTCAGAATCATTCATTCTGAAATAATGTTGTTTTTGTAACACGATTTATTATTTTATATTTATTTATTTACTAAATTAACGCCCCAAAGGGCAAGAGTACAGTTAATAAAACTTAAACTAGACATCAATAAATTTAGAGCATACAATTAATTATAAAAACAAACAATATAAGTAAAGATTCTTAACTATATAATCGATCTCTTTATTACATCTAAAGAATTAAAAAAGAAGTCCACTTTATGACTAACTTCATTACATTCTAATAACATACGATTGACCGGAGCAAAAAGATTATAGTTCTGTTGGACAGGAGAAACATAAAACATCGTTTGAGACCGTAAATGGACTGAAGGAACATTAAAAGGAATAATATCAAGAATTTTTGGACAGTCCATTTTATTATTTAATAAACTATGGATTCAACTAACGTCAAACATTTTCCGCCTCATACTCAGACTGGTTATATTTGAAGCTACTACATTTAAATCAACTTCATTAATATCGTATTTTCCTACTTTTACTACTAACATACGTAGAAAACGTTTTAGCAATTTTTCCAGTTTATTAGTAAGATTAGCTTGATATGGTGACCAAATAATTGACCCATATTCGACTATAGAACGCACTAAAGAACAATATAAAACTTTTAAACAAATAGGATTAGAAAACTCCCAGCAATTTCGCTTAAGAAAGCCCAACATCCGTAGTGCTTTATTATAAATAAATGAAATGTGTTCAGTAAAAGATAAATTCGAAGAAAGAATTACACCTAAGTCTTTAATATGAGGAACATTTATGAGATTAATACTATTTATATTATATGCATATAGTTCATATGAACGCTTACGACAAAAAGTGATCTGAGCACATTTAGACACATTCAAGCATAAACCATTAACAACACACCAATTATAAAATCTGCACAAGTCTGCTTGGAGATTATGACTGTCGTGAATTGTACGAATGTTAGAATAAATTTTTACATCATCGGCAAAACACAAATAGCTTGAATGTTGAAAGACATCAGAAAGATCGTTCATGAAAATTAAGAAAAGTAATGGAGATAAATGCCCTCCTTGAGGAACCCCAGAGGGGATATGGATAATGGAAGAGATAATATTATTTATCTTTACTTGCTGCTGTCTGCCTGTGAGGTATGAAGCTAATCATTTAAGCAGTGGGTCTTTAATGCCAATATGTTTTAATTTATCAATTAATACCTTGTGATTTAATGTATCAAACGATTTTTTCATATCAGTATAAATTGCATCAACTCGACCACCATTTGCAACAGTGGAAACAATATTAGTATAAAACACAAGCAGGTTAGTAATAGTTGATTTAGAACTACGAAAGCCGTGCTGGCAGTTATTCAGCACGTNTTATTCAGCTAACTGCTAGAATAACTGCTGACAGTTATTCAGCACGTTTTTAAAACTTAATGATAACTCGGGCTCTAGAAGTTTCTCAAATATTTTCGGCAACACACTTAATTTAGAAATAGGTCTATAATTACCCACATCAGATTTGTCACCTGATTTAAAAATAGGTGTAATATAACTTGATTTCCATCGTACTGGAAAAACACCCGAAGACAATGACAAGGAAAACAAAAAATGGATTGGACGAGTAAGCGGATAACGACAAGAACTAAAAATGATACCAGGGACAAGGTCAGGACCGTAAGTAGTGCCCGTATTTCGTTGCAGTTCTTCAAACAATTTTAGAACCGGGATCTCACATGAGGCTATACTAAACGAGGAGGGTAAAATAATATTTGGATACGTTGATCGGACGGTTTGTTTCGAAACAGAATAATTAGAAGCAAAGAACTCACTAAACATTTCAGACACATTGATCATATTGTCTGACTTTATATTTCCAAAATACATAGAGTTTGGAAGTAAGTTATTATTTCTTTTATCTTTGACAAATTTCCAAAAGTATTTTGGTTTAACAATTAAATTATTTTGAACACGGTTAATATAATCTGAATAACATTTTTTTTATAGGTTTTTACATTTAGATCTAATAGCTGAGAACTCATTATATATTGATTGGTCTTTTTTAATTTTGAAAATCTTGTGAAGGGCATTTTTTTTACGTATTAATTGACAAAGTTCCTTTGAAAACCAACTTGGGAAAGGAAACTTCTTTGCATAAACTTTAGGAATAACTCGATAGAATGTAAGAGTATCTCATAAAATTTATCAAGCGCACTATTAATGTCATCATAGTTATATAAAATCGACCAGTCAATTGAACTTAAATAATAAGACATTTGACAATAATTACCACGTTTAAAATTATAATACCAATTCAAGGGACATGAATGCTGATAATTGTTATTACGTTGTAACTCAACGAACAAAGCCGGATGGTATGGGTCTAATGGCACCAATATATCTGTTGAGGTATTGACAGTGATCAAATTTGTATTAGAAAATATTAAATCCAGATATGAATTGTATATATTAGGAATTGTGTTGACCTGATACAAGTTTAAAGATGAAAAGCACTCATAAATAACATCTACTTTAAGTGATCGAGCGTAAATCATGCCATGGTCATCATTATAGAATTTTGTATCACCACATATATACCACATATTAATTCAAAAATGGAAACAATTTAGAAAAAACGTCTTGAAATTAGTAGTAATCAAAAATAAAACAACTGCCAGCAAAAAATGTTGAAATCAAATGAATAGAACAATAATAATTTATTATGATATAACATTGTGATATGTAATAATTGATGTGCAAATACAGTGTAAGATAAATTCATTATTGTTATAACTCAATGAATATAAGTTATTATAATAGAAATTTCGCAAAACTAATAGTATTCGATATTTTATGATATTATATTTAAAAAATCAATCCAAACACAATAATATCGGTTAACTAAATCGGTATTATCGATATTTTATAAAAAAAAATATCATTTTATTTTTAAACTATTAATATTAATCCAATAAATTAAAGTTACTGGCATTTTAAATGAATTTTCAGACAACTGCCGCTCATAAAAAACTATCTGCTACCTAAATTTGTTTATTATTTATTACTTTTTAGAGGTTAAAGTAGCTATTGGTTTACAATGACTTCATAGGTAATAGATAATTAAATAAATAACATTAATTAAAAATAACATCGACATTAAACATTTGTAAATGATTTTGTTAAGAATAATAACTGTAAGATTGTAAAATTAAAATAAACTGATTTCGCTTAAATTATAAAAAGTGTCAAAACCTATCTTCTGCTTTCGCTCCCTTTATTTTTCTCTAGTCCATTCCATTTTAGAATATGGCATACATACTTATCCTCTAATCAAATCCGAATCGAAAGAGTACACAACCGTTTTTAAAATTTTACATTTTCTTTATGACTATTTCATGGTCCGTATTACTCCCAGTATTCCTACTTTTTCATCTGGACGTGTTGACGATGACCTTTCGTTCATTACCTCTTTTCTTCACGGAACCGTAGGTTGATCCTGATCTTTTATTCTCAGTATTCCACCGTGTACCAATATAACCAAACCACAAGAAGTCACTCTTTATTTTATGTTCCTCGTCACCATAATTTCTACGCTTTTAATAATTCTTCACATAAAATGCTTCGTCTTCATAATAATTTGTGGGCTTATGGTCACTTTTGCTCATTATTAAACTGTATATTTACTTAATTTTTAAGAGTTGAATATTAATTACGGTATTCTAACATTGGTTAAACTCACAATTGAAAGTGTATTATTCGAATTTTCATCTATAGTACATTAAATTTAAGTATTCTTGAATTTGAAGATTGTTAGTAAGTAATTATAATAATTGTTATTACTTTTTTATTAAACACTATCGTTGTTGGAGATGTGAAACCGCACAGCGATATGGTTCTCTGGTTCCGTTTTTTAATGGAATATCAGCGCGTGTTTAGTACACCATATAACCGGATCCGTTTAGCCGTCTGATTTAACTCAACTCGACCGTATTAGGTTCACTTGATGTACAATCCATCGCGTATGATGTGTTATCACTGATTGCAGGAGGAGATTAGATAATAAAGAAAGGGTAGAATACATCTATGTATTGATAATACGGCGCTGTGTAATTTTTAATGGGATAAATTTTTGTAATCTTTTCATGCGAATTTAAAAGCTCTTACAGTGTCGACTAATTAAATGAACATTATTAACAGCCTAGTGTTATTATAATAATATTTTTTTTTCGTTACCGATATAGTCGTAGATAATTTATTGTTAATCTAAAATTATGATTTGAAATCAGGTTATATATTTCAAATTATAAAGAAAATACTGTCAAGCCTTAAATTAAATCGTGAAGATTAATAATGGTGGAGTATGAATGAATTATAACAGAAAGATTGTAATTTCTATAATATAATTAGCTTTGTACAAAATGTGTTAAATGATAGTTCATCTGCACGGTAAATATCTGATTAATATCGTTAATAGGTTACTGTCATGCAACGCAAAAACAAACTTTACTTCATTATAATACTGTACGAGTATAAAATTATCGATTTGCTCTAAAAAGTTTTTTATCTGTTATTTGTTTAATAGATTGTCCAGCTGAACGAAGAAGAAAAAAAATGATGTGAGATTACGATTTTTTTCATTGTGAATGAATTGTTACATCTTTTACCTAACCCAATCATCACCTCAGCCTTTATCTCAACTATTTGGAGTGGGCTCTAACTATCAATGGTTTGTCAGGATTTATACACTGGTTGTTGGCCTAGCACAACCTCATTTTTATCAGTATTCTTTACTGAGCCAGCATTCTTTTTTAAGTTACAAAAGTCTCTAATTTATTTATCTTAAAATATTTATGATAACAATTTTGATTTGTAAAATCAATGGACATTGCAAACAAATGTCTAACTTTTTTAATTTTCATGAAGGGAAATCTCGAATTAGCTAAATTAAAAAGTAAAAAAAAAAATACTTAGTACTGTTACCACACACTTTTTAATAAGCAATAATATTGTAAAAATATCTTAAATTCTAAATTCTGATTTTAGAATTAATTTTTTTGTTTATTTATCATGTATATACAACTTTGGTATCTATGGCCATTAGTTACATTTTATATTAATATTATTTCTTTGCTTTTTTCAATGGAATAATTTAATTCTTTCTGTGTTCTCATGGCCATATCTTTTGATTTAAAATATTTGTAATATTATTAATAATACTTAAAGAGTCGCTTGTAGCAATAAACGTATTATATTCTTCATTCCAGATTATCTGGATTGCCAGTTTTATTGCTATTACCTCCGTTGTGTATATACTACAGATATCTGATAGCTTGTGCATTTACTTACTATTTAGCATAATGACTGTTATTTTGAAACCTTCTAAATTTTTGGAAGCATCAGTATATACTTGTATATGGTCCTAGTAGTTATCTCTATTAAACTTTGAATTTTTCTCTTATAGACTTTAGGAGGTATTTGGTTTTTAGTTAGTTTATCTAATTCTACATTCATTTTATTTTCACTATACTAGCGTGCGTTCGGTTTATATTCTCTGTTAACTTTGTTAGTTTATTTGATAGACTATTTGTTTATAACTTTCTTTTGTTCATTACTTAGTTTAATTTCCGTCTTTTTGTTTCTGTCTGGTTTTGCTAAATATTTAATTTCTATTTCTTTTCTTTTGATACTAGTGTCAAGTACGCCAACTCTAATGTAAATACTGTAAATAGGGCTACTTTTACAGGCGCCTATTCCTATTATACTGTTACCTATATTATTAGTGCTGTCAATGGTTTTAAGTGTTGGTTGGGCCTCTGTTTTGTATAATATTGATGTACAGTTAAGTTTTGTTTGATTAAGCGATTCATGTATTTATATAAGCGTATTTTTATTTTCTCTCCAGGATGTATGAGAGAGTATTATATTAAGGTTAACAGTTTGAATTTTTCTTGGTTTTAAAGTATTTGATATACATATATATATATATATATATATATATATATATATATTAAATATATCATATATGGTTTCCACGT